TTTTTCCTACCAAGGATACATCATGGGAATACCGAAATCTAAAAAGTTTAGAACAGAATCAGCGAACTTCTTTGTATGGAGTCCGGTTAAATTCTGGTGGCAGCCATGTTTGTTTTTATTATTAGAGAACGCTTACGCGCGTAATAATTCCATATTTGGAATTCACATTTCCTAATATAGTAGGATGAAAATACCCCGTAAAATACCGCAAAATTACAGCACGCTGTAACCTATGGCGGTGACAGATGTATAATCATACTGTATATTTGGGTATTCTGAGAATTGTAATGCAACTTTAGTCTAAGGTGATTTCTAAAAATGCATGACATTTCAGTACTCCATTGAAAGGAATAGTTGTATAGATAGGTCAAGGAAAGTTGTTGAAGAATTGAAAACATGTTATATAAGTTATGCTGTGTAGTATGGTATTTAGATATACCACCAGTAGTAATTAGACTTATTTCCCACTAGATATGCTAATTTCTCCAAGAAATAGTCTTCACTACTACGTGTAAATACCATGTTGTTCAGGCAGTAAATTAACATCTTCAGGATTCACAACAAATCTTCAAAATCCTCAGCAACGTAACATGGTTGTGGTTTTATCATATCTTTCTCATCTCTACGTGTTGTTTGATCAGTTTCATGCACTGAATGGCTTTTAGTGTTTCTATTTTTAGTAAGTTCTGCTAACGGCTATTTGTGTTTGATTTACAGGTCTATCAGGAACAAAAGCGGACTTAGATAGACGGCGAGTTGTTTTTGGTGCAAATGTTATTCCACCCAAACCACCAAAGAGTTTCTTACGATTAGTATGGGAAGCACTTCAAGATACTACTTTAATTATTTTAGAAATAGCAGCAATTATTTCATTAGGTCTGAGCTTTTACCAGCCCAAAGATGATTCTGTCGGTAAGTGCATGTAATGATGTTGCAAAATATACATTCTCTGTAGCCAATAAGGTCTATCAATTTTTTTTTGCGAACGGAATTGAACTTCAGATAACACAATTTTATTTATTCTCAAACAAAGTAGCATACACTGTGCTAATACATCAAGCAAATACTGAATTGGAGACATTTTAAGATATCAACGCAAGACATCACTTTGAAATAAAAATGAGAATTCTTGTTATTTCTGACATGCAGTTTTAACACAAGTATGCTATTCAGTCTAGTATTATTGCTTCTACACTGACCTTTTGATTCTGATGTCTGTTTGCTTCATTTATTTGCATGGAGAATGACATTTTTAATGAAACGTAAATGACTGAGGTGTTATTAATAACACTTTACAGTATAGCTGACCTTTCTTTTGTGTCTAATTTATTCTTTTTATTTTCTTAAATCGGACAGAAATGTCAGAGAATTGAATTTACATGTGATCATACTGATACTCAAAACTCAGATTCCCTCTGTATGCTTCTCCCATACAGACATGTGTATATATAGATAGCATTATGTCATCTATATAATTATCTCTTTCCATATCCCTGTGTTCATTTCTTATTACTTCTTGGATGTCCTCAGCCTATGTTATCAGCTTCCTGCTCATTTCTCCGAAATCACCGCAACCTTCTTTTCCAGATCACCCACATAAATTGATTTACTCGACTGTCCATCATTTCCCTTCCAGTCCATCCCCTCACATTATCATCCATAGTTCCATCCATAGTTTTCAACTGATCATTTCTTGTTTCATATTGTTTCAGAAACTGATTCGGGTGAACAGGAAGCCGGTTGGATAGACGCAGTAGGCATCTTAGTGGCGGTTATTTTAGTAGTATTTGTCACAGCGTTTAACGACTGGAATAAAGAAAGAAAATTTCGAGGTCTTCAAAATAGGATAGAACAAGAACAAAATTTTGCTGTTATTCGGGGCGGAGAAAGTTTACAAATTAATAACAAAGAAATTGTAGTTGGCGATATATGTCAGGTTAAGTATGGTAAGTTTCCCCTTCTTGACTTTTCCGCAGATTTGTTTTTTCAATAGTTACAATGTATTGATCAACTTTTGAGTGGTATTGTACTTTATAATTAGTTTTACACTCAGTCTGCATTACATCAGTGTAGCAAGCAAACCAATTACCTAATTCACCAGTTTTATAATATCTCAGAGCCACAATTCAGCAGGAATATGCTGTTTTCTATGCAAACATCTGGCTTTTGTTCTGTACTACATTTTTTATAGCAGGCGTCCAGATTGCCCTTGAAATTTTATATACAAAATGTAATTTTTAATATTTCATAATTTGAGAAAAGAAAACAATGGTCATGGTGTTCTTCCTTTCCATGAGATGCAGATGCAGCGAGTGCTGACTATAGCAGTTGTATTCTCTTTTGATTTAACCAAAAAGTAATGCCCGTCGGTTGATAATTTTGCACAAGTACATACATGTATGTAGCTGTCTTTGTGTTGAGTTGTGCAAAAAATGTTGGAAACTTCTGAACAAATCAACTCTTTTTCTTATTGTAAAATTACCGATGACCATAATTCCTGACTTTGGAGTTACTGGTTTTCGAAAGAACATTTGTCTGGCTTTTCTCTTTGTGAAGTTTTCTGAAAACATTCTGCTATGATTTAAATATTTGTATCTTGTATTTGATGAAGTTTGATAACGGAAGCGTGATGATCTTTATATTATAGATAGCCGTTTGGTCGATCACTGTGGCATATGACGACGTTTGCACAATATTTTGCGATCGTTGGGAGCTAAAAATTCCACAAGTTCAATGAGTTTAGCTTTACAGGCATTTGTACAAGTTATACCATGTTTTCATATATATGAGTTGAGATTACTGTAAAACCTTTTAGCTAATTAAGCTAAATTTCACTAACTCAAGATTTAATTTTGATTAAAATGAAGTATATTCTCACACGGAGTCAAATTTGCTAAAATGGCATGTAGCTACCAGTACATATGTTTTACAATATTTTGACATTTAAATTCTGCATTTTGCATGGTTCAGTGAATGGGACTGTGTTGCCATTTAAAATCAACCCTACTCGCTTTGTTTACAACCGAGTACTTTGTTAATAGGCCCTCTAGCATTTTTCTTTTGAAAATTCTAAATTCAAGAAATTATGTTGGATAGTTGGTTTGTTTTTGTGATTCTCTCAAGATTGCTTCCCAAATGATAAATACGACTCACTGTTACAATATACAGACTGACATGACATCAACCAAGCCACAAGTCAATTTGCATCTGACAGATACTATTTTAGATTCAGTTATTTATGTCATACCGGTACTACAACATCAGACAAAGTGAACCTTGGGGAATCATTCACAATGAGTAGAATAACATTCAAGAAAAACATTTTTTTTTTATACATCATTTGAATTGATCTTAAGGTTATTGACAGGCATTTGAAAAACAGTGGTGGAAAATCTAGTATTTCAAAATAGCCATCAGCACCCATCTCATTACTAACATGTTTTTTTTTCGTTTTTTTTTCACTGTATGTAACCTAGTGAATTTTTACCATAGAAACCAATGTTAATGACTAAAAATTAGCAGTTTTTTGAGTGTATGACCTGTGTTTTGTACAAAAAGGTAGTTCAGTGGGATATTTGTAGTCCCAAAATAGGAATTAATAATTTCACCTAATTTCATCCATCCATCCATCCATCCATCCATCCATCCATCCATCCATCCATTCACACCTATATCTCAAACATGCCTTGACATTTCTGCCATTGTGGAAACCGATCTTTGTCATGCATTTATACATATCTTATGATTTTGATGCATACATTGGACATGATGAAACCTATCACATACGTGTATCTTTTATTCCCCAAAGATTGGATTCAAAATGGCTGCCTGGTTGACATTTTGTTTTAATGCATGCTGTTCCAGAGCCACATGCGGACATGCATTGATTGATTTCATTTAACACAAATACACAAAAAAAGTTTAAATAATCTTGCTTGAGTTTCTATCATGTCTTTAGTATGAGTGTCAGTGACAATGCGTAATAACGACATCAGTGTCTTGTATCGGCCATCACACTACCAGCAAGAACTGTAACACCACTCTACTTATGTAATCAGAACACCATGACCAGCCTACTAACAACACCAAGTTCAATTGACACATTTAAATAGCTTGTTGCTTTCAATATTAAAAAAAAATAAAACCATACTGTAAAAGTCAAGGAAATCAGACTGTCCGTCTTATTAGTAGCCATCAACTACCTTAACCGTTTTTAGATTTAAATTTTTCTTATTATTTTCTTGTTTTCTCAGGTGACTTACTTCCAGCTGATGGTGTTGTTATTCAGTCTAATGACTTGAAGATTGATGAAAGTTCATTAACTGGAGAATCAGATCAAGTTAAGAAAGGACCACTAAGGGATGTCCATTTACTATCAGGTTAGATTTCATTATACAGGATTTTAGAAAATATTTTGTATATAATGTGCACTCAAATGTATGAATTTAAAAATATGTATAAACCATTTCTTCTCGACAATCTCTAAAAATCTTTTTTTTAGGGGGGGAATTTAGTACAAATAGTAAATTGATTTTATCTGCAATTATACATTGAGAGCAAACTATTTCAACTTGAGAAAAACAAATGCCTTCAACAACAATGCTTTTGCCGATGTTTTCCTTATCTTCATTTCTATGATTGTGAATTACCAGATTTTAGACTACATAATGAAAATATTGGTACTTCAAGTGGTTATTCATTTTAATAATTTCATTCAAAATAAAATTTCATTCATTTCGTTTTCAGTCCAGTGCTATATCTCATATGTACATACATTTCATCTCATGAGAAGAACACCATGACACTGATGTCATTGTATCTCATGAGAAGAACACC